TCTCGGTGGCCACAGTGGAATACACTCATAATAGTTATGATGTCTAAGAATCTCTTTGATTGGAACCAAAAAACTGATGAGTAATGGAACTTGTCAGGAAATGTGTCTGTTAAAGACAGTTTAATAGAGAATAACATAAGGTTTGTTTTGTTTGATTGAATAAGGGGACTAGTAGTAGTCGAATTCTGTTTATATATGTGCAAGCTTTTCTTGCAAACATCAAATTGCTTAGTGTGGAAACACCTCCATTTCCTTTTTATCATGTCTCTCTTTATTTGCATTTAGTTTCTTTCAGTGAAAACATTTGTCCTCCATGGATTTTACTATTTTTCCTGTTTCTAGAAAAAAATCATTGATCATGAGGTCCATCTCGCTTTGAGGAGGATGAGACACGGTGAGGGCTTTAATTGGACAGCTTGGTTTTTTTTTATAGAGAATTGATGACGAGCCTAGCAATCTAGGATGTTACTAACCAAGATGTCAAACGTGCTCTCATTGTTATGGTTGCTGATTTGATCATTGTGAAAGTTGGGTTTCATTTGTGTTCTGTTTGTTGTCTTAAGTGGTCTTCTATAAAATCCTCAAGGCTCTTCGCCAACTCGACTTCATCATCAAGTGCAAAGATGTGTCTCCTTGAATTCAAAATTCAAAACTACATCCTTGTACTGCATCTGAATCAGCTTTCTAGAATGTGTTTATATTGTGGATATTCAGCATCCAGGCATGATATCCTAGCTAAAGTGCTTTATCTCTGTTACACATGGTAATACCTAGTTAAAAACTTGTCTGACATCTTTTTCTCTTCTTCTTTTTCAGGATCCTGAAGGTCTTTTTCCTTGTATTCTTGGCCATGAGGCTGCGGGGTATGGCTTAGTGATGTCATGTTTTCGTTAGAGAATGATAGAGCTGCTTTTTATGGAATTATTATGTACATTCCATTTTCAGAATTGTTGAGAGTGTAGGAGAAGGGGTAACTGAAGTTCAACCTGGGGATCATGTTATACCTTGTTACCAAGCAGAATGCAGAGAGTGCAAGTTTTGCAAATCAGGAAAGACAAACCTATGTGGAAAAGTTCGTTTGGCTACTGGAGTTGGTGTTATGTTGAATGATCGCAAGAGTCGGTTCTCTGTGAATGGGAAGCCAATCTACCATTTCATGGGCACATCAACCTTCAGTCAGTATACAGTTGTTCATGATGTTAGTGTTGCTAAAATTCATCCACAGGCACCTCTCGAGAAGGTCTGCTTGCTTGGCTGTGGTGTCCCTACTGGTAATTTTTGTGAACTGTAACAGTACTATATGTTGCAAATTCAGAATAATTACTTGATTATTTAGATTTGTTTTCTGCAAATTTGACTTGAATGTTTGACAGCTGAAATTTTCTCAACTGAAAATTTTATTGTTTCCACCTGTTGTTTTCTTAGCATGCATGCTTTAGTCTTCCAGGACTTGCAATCTTGACCATTGAAATGTTCTCACATAAGCTACCCGGCGGCATGCCTGAGGACTATTATCTTTGTGTTTATGTTGCTTAAGGAAAACAAATTTTATAGCAAGTTATTAATCATGCAAACGGCATCACTTTCCCAATTTTGTTGCTTCCAGTTCCCTGCCCAAGGAGCGGGGCTTGTCACTCTTGTTTGTTTCTTTTCTAGCTTCACATATTTTTCCTTAATTTAGTTTTAGCTTGTGATTATTCTGTTCAATTTTTTCAGGTCTTGGAGCTGTATGGAATACAGCAAAAGTGGAAGCTGGTTCCAATGTTGCAATTTTTGGCCTTGGCACTGTTGGGCTTGCAGTAAGTTATTCAAATTACCCTCGGATTCATTTATATAGAACCCAAACAAGTTATAAGTTTTTCTCATAGGTCGCCGAAGGAGCAAAAACAGCAGGCGCTTCACGAATCATTGGTGTTGATATTGACAGCAAAAAGTTTGATATTGGTATTCATTATCTCCTTTAAAACACATTCTTAGTTTTGTGATAATGTTGTATGCTTGGGTTCAGTTTTCTGCCAATCATTTTATATGTTGTTCATCATCTAGTTGTGTAGGATCTGAATAGATGTACTTTTGTCTCTTAGCAGTCAGAAGCAAGGATTTAATTACCCTTCTGAAACCAGTTCCATAACCTATCAGACCAATATGGTACTGATATGCCAGATGGTATTGACCTATACAGTCTGCTATCATTAAATAAAGCAATAAAAAAAGTGATTGAGCATATATTTGTTGGTATTTAGTTATATGTTTCGATACTGATATTTGTTTGGGTTTATAAACATCGATCACTACGCTTGTTCAGATGAAAGACATTCACATCGAACATTGCCACATTTATAATTTTTCCCATTGATCTTCTTGTTAGGTGCTTGGCGTTCTTGTAGATTGTGTTGAATGCCTGCTGGGAGGAGTTTCAGCGGGGAGTTACATAGATATTGTTTCTATTGAAAAGCTACTATTATGCATTATGAAGTTTGAGGGTATGAAACATATTCTATGTTGAAGGGGTCAGCTATTTGTTATCATCCATATTTGTGAAGATTTTGTGGCGGCTCTAACAGTTGACCTTAAGTTGACCTAAGTCAACCTTCTAAATTTGGTTCACCATTGATAGCCAGAGTAGCTTAGTGGAAGAGACTTCTGCCAAACCTGAAGGTCCAATGGGAGGGCAGTGAGCTTGGTTCACTATTATTTTATTTCAGAGTAATTGTCAAAGTTCTTAAGGTTTTTAAGTGAAATGTGTTCCTTTTTGGTGTTACCTCTCTTGGAATAACCAAAGTATCCTTTATCTCGTAGATTGAAACAACAAATGATCATTCAAATCATTCTAAGATTCATTTATTCTGAAAATAAATTGATAGAGAACCACTAGAATGCCAGTTTCATCTTTAAGGTCATGTTATATTTGCATTTTGTGTTAAAAACTTTCAGTAAGACTAAAATGTTCCTGGTTTGTTCCTTTTCATAGTTCAACTCTTCTATTTAAATGTTTGCAGCAAAGAAATTTGGCGTTAATGAATTTGTGAACCCAAAAGACCATGATAAACCAATACAGCAGGTCATTGTTGACCTTACGGATGGTGGTGTTGATTATAGTTTCGAGTGCATTGGAAATGTCTCTGTCATGAGAGCTGCTCTTGAATGTTGTCACAAGGTAATATTTTCGGTCTTTTTCATACAATGCTTCAAAAAGTAATATTTCTTTCAAGAACTTTATCTTTGAGCCTTGGATTTAACTGGATATTTTATTTTTCCAAAACCGGAAAATGAGTATAAGACCTGTAATTTTGGTCCAAATAGAAATAGACTGCATTCTTTTTTGTTTGTGGTCCAGTTGCAGTCACTGATGCAATGAGTTCTTCCCATTGGTATATTTTCTTAAGAATACTGCCACGACTACTTATATCTTTTTCATGAATGAAAAAATTACAGGTCTAGAATCAAAATTTATTAGATAGTCTAGAATAAAAAAATTTCCTCATGTTTTCCCAAAAATTCTGCATGTATCATGAGTCCTCTATTGCAATCTAAACATCTTCATTCTCACATCTCTACCTTATCATTACAGGGTTGGGGCACATCAGTTATCGTAGGCGTGGCAGCTTCTGGTCAGGAGATAAGCACGCGGCCTTTCCAGCTTGTGACCGGACGCGTTTGGAAGGGGACTGCATTCGGTGGCTTCAAGAGTCGCTCCCAAGTTCCTTGGCTCGTCGACAAGTACATGAACAAGGTATCTGCCTTCAACTGTGATGTAAAAGGAGTAATTAAACATGACATCAATTGGCATTTCAACTCCACAAATGCTACAGGAAATCAAGGTTGACGAGTACATCACCCACACCATGACACTCGAAGACATCAACAAGGCCTTTGATCTCATGCATGAAGGTGGTTGCCTCCGCTGCGTGCTTGCTTTGCAACCATGAAGTGAGACCCCTCGTTTCCTTGTATGCATCTTTCGACGATTTTCTCTCTTTTGATGTGTACGAATCATGTTAATCTCGCATGTGTTGTTTCTGCTGGCTTGTTCATGTTCTAGTTTAAATTTGCTTTTAAGCTCTATGGAATCGAAAGGCTTAGCAAGCCTCTGCTTGTTTCCCTGAACTTGTGTTAGATCATAATAACGTAGTTTATCTGCTGAGATCATCTATGTCAAATGCTCCACTAATTTTTGCCCCATTTCTCATCACTTGTTATGACGCAAGTACGCATCGATCAGCTGTTACCAAAGTCATTGATTCAAGTGCAAGAGAATGAATTCATTCTCTAGATTTCATTGAACTTAGTTGCAAGAGAATGAATTCATTTCATTGATGACCTCTTCTTTTCCACTTTCACATCAGACTATAGACTGGAGATTAGATACTAAAGTCGACTTATAGCCACATAAGACGTTCTATAATAAGCTCGAGCTCGCCTTGTTTAGTGTTGGTGTTGATATTAGGCAGCCGATCCTAAAAAGTTGGATCCATGTTTGGTGGTTATGTTTAAATCCGACCCGTTACTGAAGTAGACGAGATTTAAGTGCAAGAGACTGAATTCATTGGTGAGCTCTTCTTTACCACTTTCACATCAGACTAAAGACTGGAGATTGGAAGCTAAAGTCGACTTAAAGCCCCATAAAAACGATCTATAATTAAGCCGATCTCGCCCCGATAATTGTTCGTGTGGATGCCAAGCGGCCGATCCTAAAAAATTGGATCCGTATTTGGTGGTTGCATTTACATCCGACCCATCTATACACCAACATGGTGGAACCCATCCGTAATTGGGCTACCTGCTCGGGATATATTGGACAAGGGAAAGATGTAGACTCTCTCGCTGTTAGGGTTTCCGATTGGTCCTCTGGAAGAGAGTTATCGGAGGTGGTCCGGCGGGGGCGGCGTTGGAGGTCTCAGAATCAATGACCATCTTTAGGGTAATCTCGATCTGAATCTTCGAAACTGTGTATTTGTTGATCGACTCCCTTTTCGCCTACAAGAGTCCTATTCGACTTGTTAGCTCTTCGCGTACTTCGCTTTAGATTGTTGCATCTGATCCTCGTTGATGACGGCGGATGGTGGCAGTTTCATCAGTATCAGGTGGTGGGTAGAGCTCTTCCAACGGCGGCGGTGGAGCACCCCAAGATTTACCGTATGAAGCTGTGGGCTACGAATGAAGCCAGAGCTAAATCCAAGTTCTGGTAATTTTATGTTGGATCCTATCTTTTGGATCTGTGTTCTATAGCATATATGTTGGCTTCTTTTTCAACACGTTTGCTCGTTGTTATTAATTGTTTTATCTTCCGATGTGCCTTGAGGATTTCAGGTACTTTTTAAGGAAGCTGAAGAAAGTGAAGAAAAGTAATGGCCAAGTTCTTGCAATTAATGTGGTTTTTTTCCGTCTTATTTGGTCCCTTTTTCTCAAGGAATGTCATGGGTTTGGTTTCTCCTTTGTATGTCCTGTATGTCATCGACCAGAAACTAAGTTTTCTTGTTAAACTTTGATAGCTAATCTCACCTATTAGATATAGATATAATTATTAATTATTGATACTAAATGGATATTTAGGTTGATGCTTGATAGCCTTACTAAAGATAAATGGAAACGCATATGTTTGTCAGAGATTATTGGAATCATTAGTATGCTAACAAATTGTTGAGATATAGCTCACCAATGATGGTATATGATGAATGAAATGCATTAAGCAAATAAGGAACTAAATCTTATCAATGACATCTTAGTTTATAGTAGTACAGCATGTAAAGAAGTAATATTGTGTTTCTGCATATAAAAGCCAATTACATGGTCCATGTCTATGCCTAGTTTGATGAAGTTATTTACTTTTTAATTTGTTGTCAAAATGAGTGTCTATGGAATTAAAAATTGATAGTCGTGTGGTTGAGATTAGGTTGACATATGATTAGTATCTTAATTTTGTATTATCAACATCAAAATGGAACAACAAATAAATAAGAATGAGGCCACATTGTCTAAGTAACAAGAAAATAGCACTCAGACAATTCCATTGTTGTCTTTAATTTTGAAAATTGAAAGATAAAAAAAAAAGGAAAAACATTGAAGAAGGGGAACAAGAAAGAGAACAACCCTAGTTGATGGGGTTTCGAACCAAAAAGATATGTAGAAATATGCTTTCCTGATTATTGGAGGAAAGATATCTTCTTTTTTCCATCTTGATGACTTCAAAGGTTTTATCCACTCGGCGAATCTAAAGTTCAGCAAGCAGTGGATCTGGTCTGCCATCGGAGCCTTGAGTTACCACCATGGGTAACTCCAATCTTGAGTTACCTCCATGAGTAACTCCGACATGTATTGCAGTGTACTGTGGTGCTGGCAACGGTTGAATATGATCCCTCACAACATTAAGAACTCCGTGGATGAGTTGAGAAGCATTCATGGCTTTAGTGTCGCTTGACGGGTGCGATGTGATTGGCTTAGCTGAAACATAATCTTCCTCTGGGGCTGAAGAGGACTAGGTTTTCTTGGTCTCATAGTGGTCGATCGGGGGAGGTTCAATTTACTGGTTAGCCCGAGGAACACTCAAGGTGCATGAGGCAGTTGGGTTGTGTCTACAACCAATCTTACATACAAGAGCATCATTTCCCTTCACACCTCTGAGAAGCTCCATTTTGCCTACAATACATCAAGAATGGTCGTAATGCCTACAGGTCTTAAACCATGCTTTGACACCATTTTCATGACCCTAATTGACCATTAACTTGTTGAGCCAAACCACAGACCCACAAGTTAATGATAGTGATAGTATTTGTCCAAGTATTTGTTCACTTCCAATCTGTAACTATATTTGGGTGTTATACTTTTTCTATTCGTTGTTTTGGTTGAAATTAAATGGACTTTTCGATTGGACCCCCTGATCAAGTATCAATTGGCTGTAGCTGATTGACTTGTTCTTCCTAAATATCTAAATATTGGCTCCCATCCAACCTGATCTAATCCATTTAAACCCAGTTACCTATGTATACATTGGTCTTCCTTGGATGTACTCTTTCTGGTTGAATTAGTTTTGGATTTTATTAGACGTAAGGCTTTCTGCTTACATTGATATGCATGGTATCCAATCCATATTCATATCCATGTCTGGATTTCCAAAGTAGTGGTTGGCATTATAAATATGCAAGTGTGGATATACGATATTTCCATTTTTGTGACCACATTTGAGTTTGCATGGATGCAGAAATTTATATAGGTAAATTTTGTATAGTTAATTTTCAAACGCCATGATGTTTAGTTCTATTGGCGAATCTTCTATCACGTTAAAAATTATTGGCATTTCTTGCTTGACTAGTACAAACAACAAGCTATATATATGAATATGAATTTAAAAGTTGAAACATCACAACAACTTGATAAGTTAAACATCACCTTAACCTATATTTGTCTGATCAGGGCATTTTATAATTAAACCCCAATTTGTCCTTGTCAGGGCTGGCTCATCATGCACATGGATGGATTACTAGGATCCCCATGAGTGATGGTGGGATCCAAGGGCCCTGTCACTCATTACATTGTTACCTCTATACTCGATGCATGCCTGTGTTAGACCAAAGATACACTGGGATGCATAGTAGGTTGCTAATATGGTCTACACGGGACACATCACGAACAGTTGTTACTAGGGTATCATCTTTGTCAGGACTAGTGAATGAAACATGCATGGCTTATGCCTACAAAAACAAGCACTTATAAGATAGGAATGGATTGTAAATCACATACTAATCAAAGACTTGACATGCTATCCATATTCTTATGGTGAGTACTTTTATAAATCTGACCTTTTTTCCCTGAAGAATCTATGGCAAACTCTGTGACTTGTGCTTATAGTGCGAGTTGTATCAAGTTTTTCATATTGTCCCAATAAATGTTAGTTTAATCATACATCAAAACTAGGGTTTGCAGGTAGCTGTCTGGAATCTTTTCTTCTCTGTCAAGCCCTAATTGTTGTGTTATTTATTGTAGGATTCTAAAAGGTCTTATCCTCCTTAGCCTATTTTTTTGTTCATAGGCTGTCAAACCACCTGGGTGGTCCTAGGTGGTGACTAGCTCAAGAGCCCAAGTCGGATGCCTGTATAAGTAGAGGGGACACATTGAGGAATAAATCGAAATGCTTATAAAGTGTATATTGATTACATGGGATATCAACTAACAACAATAAACTTTTGTATATGTTCATGTAAAGTAATTGAAAGAAATTCTGATGTCAAACATATATGGTCATGCTAGTGCTTAAGATATGGAATTATGGAATATTCAGGATATGTATTGTCTTTTACTTACAACATAGATTTCCATCAAACAATTTGATCTCTAAAATTTATAGGGTTTACAAAGTCAATTGACCCCATGACTTTACTGATTTCAACATTTTATCAACGTCATGAATTGACCCCATAAATTGTAGGCAGTCAGTCTCATCCATGCCCTTTAGCAGCCATTCAGTCTGAAACACAGTTTACCTAGGCAGTCTACAGAGCCAAAGCAGTTCTTCATAGGACACAATATCTTTTCTTTGATGTACAAGCTAAATCTGGAGCTAAATTTTGGCAGATATTTGAGAGGAAACCAACAAAGATCAAGAATTATGGCATCTGGCTGCGGTACCAAAGCCGAACAGGTTACCACAACATGTACAAAGAGTACAGGGATACTACACTGAACGGTGCCGTGGAGCAGATGTACAACGAGATGGCATCCCGCCACCGAGTCAGGTGCCTTTGCATCCAGATTATCAGGACTGCCACCATTCCTTCCAAACTATGCAAGCAATTCCATGATTCTAAAATCAAATTCCCCGTCGTCTTCAAGAAAGTCAGGCCCCCTACCAGAAAGTTGAAGACCACTTTCAAGGCCTCCCGCCCTAGTCTCTTCAAGTAAAAGAGAGTACTCGAGCACATTCTCCAGAAACTGTTGCATTTAGTTCATGTATTGTTGGATGAACTTAAAATGCCGCTGTCAGAGATTGTGTTTGTGTAGGACTTTTGCAGAGAGATTTTGTGATTTGGATTAGGAGAATTCATTTCTCATTTTCAGCATGTTGTTGTTATAGCGGATGTGATCTTATGAATTGGATTAGCTATTCCAGTTTAATTTTTTGTGCTTAATTGTTCTTATACTTGTTAGCGTCGATAAGGGTAATCCAATCTTCCATGACTTAGCAGGCGTCGAGCTGAAGATATATCCATCATATATCCACATCAAAAAAGCGGATATAAGCGATTCTGCTGCAGCATTTGATTCCTCTGGTGATTTCCTCTTAATATATCTGAAGGCTGGTCCATCCGTCCGCAACGGTAGCAACATCATCCACTCGCTAAATCTGATGCAGCCAATGTCGGGTCCACGAAAGAAAGCGGCGCACTAATTTGGACACACCATTACGGTTTCGTTCGGTTCGGGTTCGGCCAAGGTCTCGGACCGACACACCCTATTCTGCGGCTTCGACCCGTTAAAGCCACGTCGTTATGATTCATATTTCCTTTTTCCTGCAACGCTTGTTCGCCGCTTCCCTCCTCTCGGTCTGCGGAGCGAGCATCAACGAAGAATAAGGAGAAAGAACTCCGATCTCTTCACGCCCTCAAATCCTCTCGATTATCCTCTGGTAAGGTGATTCTGTTTCTTGCTCTGTTACATCAGTTGCTGCCTTTTATACGTTTTGGATACTTACGACTTTGATGCGTACCGTACACGATATTTCGCCACAGTTTATGCAGAATCGGAGTTTGATCTTTGGCAAGAAAACGAGCATTGTCGGTAACCAGATTCGATGATCGAAGGGTTAGAAATCCATCGAGTAGCCAACCAAAACGAATGAAATATTGCCGTCATGCTTTAGGGCAGGGATAACAGATTAGCTTTGGCCAATAAGAAAAGCTTCGTACGAGATTGTTTGGGGGAAAATAGGAAAAATATTATTAATATCTTGATTAGCCTAACATAGTCTTAACTTTTATATATATATATATATATATATATATATATATATATATATATATATATATA